AACTACCTTGAAAATTAATTTTTCTGAGAGCACTTGTTAGTGAACCGAAATAATATCCTGTGGAATTTCACACTCTTAGATGCGCCTGCCAGGGATGCGGGTGGCTCAGGCTTCTGTATTAACTAGACTTAGAGCCTACGTGGAACAGAGAGGCTCAGCCTTCCCCCTAGCAAGCAGCTCCTTCACTGGAGAAAGGGTTACTTTACAAAAAAGACCCCTGTCCCTGTTCCAAAACCCCCTCTCTCTTGGTACATACAAAAATGCATAAGAAAACTCCAGGGGGCTTCCCTGGTGGCGCAGTGGTTGAGAGTCCGCCTGCCGATGCAAGGGACGCAGGTTCGTGTCCCGGTCCGGGAAGATCCCACATGCCACGGAGCGGCTGGGCCCGTGAGCCATGGCCGCTGAGCCTGTGCGTCTGGAGCCTGTGCTCCGCTACCGGAGAGGCCGCAACAGTGAGAGCCCTGCGTACCGCAAAAAAAAAAAAAAAAAAAAGATAACTCCAGGAAGCTGGCTATTTCCTCCCCCTCAAAATGACTCTGCTCCTTGATGTATGTACCATGGCCCTGACATTATTCCTGTGACCTTTAAAATAGCAAGATTTTATCAGCACTGAAGGCAGCTTAATTAACATGGGAAGCTTCAGCACCTCAAACTTCCTAGTTTTGCTTCCAGTGTCCTGGTTACAACCTCTGGGTAGTCAGTCCCTACTCAAGAACATTTCCATTCTTTCTCAAGGAACTAGTGAGGAGAAAACATGAGGACATTTAGACTCAAGCCCTCAGATAGGCAGCAAGTGCTTCGCTGCTTTCGTAGCCCTTAACACAAAGGTAAAAGGGACCACAGTGCTCTTAGAACTGGTAGTTAGCGCTTGAGCCACACCCAGCTCACAGGAACAGAACCTCAGCTGAGTTCCCCAGCGTGTGGTCAGCTACCAGCCTCCGTGGCTGGGGCCTGTTCCTGCACACTCCCTGCCCCACCTCAGGTGTACAGAAGAAGAATCTCTGCCATTAGGCCTGGGACTCGGTATTTTATCAAGCTCCCCGGTGACTCCTGTGCACAGGAAACTTTAAGAATCATATTAGGAAATCATCCCTTGCCGATCCGCAGACTGCTCCAGGGAGGACAGCTTTTAAAATGAAAGACAGAACTTAAAGGCCCTTCGAAGACAAAAAGCAAGGAAGACAGAGGAGCTACGACCAAAAGGCAAGGAGAGAGAAGAACAGAAGGAAAAGGAAAGAGGGTGGTGGAAATGAAGACAATCAAATCTTGTGCTTTGGGGGCACTAACCCTAGCAGTTGTGGAGGTGCCCTCCTCTCCTCCGTTCCTGTCCAGCACAGTTTGCAGGGCCATTTAAGGGGAGCTGCTGGTGGTGGCATCTAGACATTCACCCCCACAACTGTCTTAGCTGGTCTGCCAGAACTGACGTTCTTGGGCAACCGCACCTGGAGTTAAAACCCCAAGTTCAAAACTTCTAGAAATGATAAGTTAGGACCTAATGGATCCAGCAGTTGACTGAACGCTCTATCTACCCCTAAACCAGCATAGGAATACAGCAGACAACGAATGATAGCACATCCAATTCAGAATCACCACTGTACTTGCCATATAAATATAATTTCCTGTCTCCTTCTTCCTCCCTCCCCCAACCCAGTTGCACCATGGGCATAAGCACTTCCTCTCCCCTCATATATTTCTATTTGCACATATGGCACAGGGTGGCAGCCTACCGATAGCAGTTTCATATTACAGACTTGCAGAATGAGGAAATGCTACAGCTGGCGGCAGGCACCCACTGAATGTCTGCCGTTACTCGGGTTGGTCCATTTACTTTCATCAGCGCTCGCCTGAGTGGTCTTTGTTGATCCTGCTTTGCATTTGCTTATGGCCAAGCAGCCCCAAACCATGCCTTTTACTTAGAATTCTAGCTTATTGTGTGAAGAACAAAAAGCTGCTGCTCTTTCTTTCTGCTTAATCTAGCCTTAGGAGGGGTTGAGATCTTTTCAGAGGCAGGAGGTAACTGATTTAATAAAAGCAACTGAGGATCACCACTGGGTCCAAATTCCATTTACCTGAGGACGTTTGCATCTCATTTTATGACAATCTAGAATAACACAGCCCTGTGGATTCTGATCGCTCCCTTCCAAATGATGTCAGAAAAAGCACTGCTGTCTTGGTGAATCACAGATCTCAACAACGCTCAGCAGCGCACCTGGGCTATTAGTAAAGGTTGGCTCACAAATGCTGCAACAGCCAGTGGCCACAACTTCTAAGTGATTCTCTTGCAAAAGAGAACAAATTTATCTCTACCTTTCTGTTATTATTTGCTGGCTTGTTTGTTGCTTTGTTTTCTTGATCCAGAAAAAAGTATTTAGTCATTATGAACAATTAAGAACAAAATGGAAATTCAGGGTTATCACGCCACAAAGCTGCATTTGGATTTTGAATCATTTCTAATGTGTCCTGTTTTATAAACCTGACATAAGCACCCAGATAAAGTGCTTCTTATGTATAAATGCTGTCATAATCTCAAAATGCTTGTCAAACTTTCAGACAGTTTGACAGTTTGTCAGTTTGCTTAGAAACATGCAACTTCATCCCAACACTTAATCAGGCAACAGAAGCTAGAGGTGGGGCAGAAACATCCAGAAACTCCTTTCTCCTGAGGACAATCACAAATGCTGGTACACTGTTGATTAACATCTGGATCAACTTAAGGGTGTTTGTGAACCAGCAGGAAATAAATTTCTGGAGAAGGCCATGGACTTGAGGATGGTTGCTTTAGTATTTAATAATAAATGATTTCCAGTTGATAGAAAAATATTGAAATGTGACTTATATATATGAGGCTGATTCAAATTTGATAAACATATCCCCAAAGGAAATTACTGGGTTTATGAAAATCCTTGGAGGGCTGAACAGAATTGCCAACAGTCTTATCCTATAGTCCTTGCTGAAGGTGGAGTAACTGCTCCCCAGTCCACCTTCCAGCCAACCACAGAGGAAGGTCAATAATAAGGAAAGAGCAGGGCTGTTCTTAGTCTTAAGTTAAAAGTGGCTATGAACCGCCAAGATATCCCCAGCAAGCCGTCGTCGACAAAGTAAGTGCCGCTGCCTTGCTGGTAAAATGTGATGTGTTGATGACTGTTATATTACATCTAAAATCCCATTTACTAGTAATAGAAAAGTTCAGTTAAGAGTTTTGCCTTACGTCTCCTGGTGCTTGATACAATGTTGTGTGATATTACCAATTTTCACTTCAGGCGTGTTCACACGCAACAGTGAAGACTTCACAAGAATCTGCACATTTGATCTATGGTGAAATTATGCCATTTTCATAGCAAATCAACTTTTCTTTGGCAGCAGAATGATAGGTACTTTTGCACCTAGAGAAATGCCTTTGTTTTCAAGGAATTTTGAAAAGAAATAACAAGTTCCGTGTCTCTGGGGATTGTAATCCAGTTATTGTAAGAAGAGGCCCAACAGGTAAGAATCTTACTGGCCCACTTTCTGACCGGGGCATGTTCCTTAACACTTCTCGTAAAACAAAAGGAAAAGCAAGGTGGGGACATGTGCAATTTTTCTCTCATACGTATCACAAAGGTGTTGTGGAATGACTTCACATCTCTAACAGTGCACAACACATAGAGAAGATGTCTGCGAAAGGGCAAATTGTTGTGTATGTAATGTGAAATTTTGCCTCAATGGTCTCTGCTTTTAGTGGTGTGGGAAGCAGCAGGAATTTATTCATGCGGCCTTACTGATTTGCAGACTGGGAGTAAATACTAGGCCTTTTGCAGCGATTACCAAGAGCCCCCTTCAGTAGAAATGATCTACTGCCTTCCTACATCACATTAAAGTGGTGGATGGAAGAGTGAGCCCAGCTGAGCCATTCTGTACACACCTAGCCAGGCTGCAATTTATATTCAGACAGAGGTGTGAATGGCTCTCAGAGACAGAGAGAGAAGAGCATTTCTCTGGAAAATTTTCACCAGAACCAGAAGCCAAACTCTGATTTGTCACTGTTATTAAAAAAAAAAAAAATTCTTTCTTCATCACAGAAAGAAATTAAAAGGTAAGTTCTTCTTTCCCTGTAAGATTGATACTTAAGATTGCTAAGGATCTCCCTTGGCCCCTTAAGAAAAATCCTTACATAACTTTTCTTACAAGTAGTGCATATATCCTTTCCCTAAGTTTCTGTATTGAGGACACAGTCTACGACTTTTGGTTACTGAGCTTATGTCAGGAATTATCCAGCTTCACTCTTGTGAACAACATCTAGCTGTGCCCCATCAGGAGTCCTGTGCTGTAACCACAAGCCAAACTGAAGGAAAGTGGGAGGAGGAAAGATCAATTCATGTGGTGTTTGGTGGCCACCAGGCATTCCATTTAGTAAATGTAGGATTTTAACATGGAAGTTTGAAAAATATAGTGGCTGAGCCAGAAAACTGTCAGTTTGGGTCAAATTTAGTATTAGGTAGTCAAAGAGTCTTTTTTATTGTCAAATTATATATGTATATATAACTCATATAGATATAAAGTAAATAATACAAAGTTATTTATATATAGAACATATATACTACTTGACCCCACTAAATTTAAGTATATAACTATATATGTACACTCAAATTGTCAGTCTATTTATTATCAAATTATATATATTATATAAATATATATATTATATAATTTTAAAAGTATATATAATAATATACACTACTTGACCCCACTAAATTATTTTTCAATAATAGCTAGTATTTTCCTTTTTCTTTTCCTGGAAGAAAATACACCTAAGATAGTTATTTTACTGACATTGCTTTGTCTAGTTCTGTTGTCTTTCTAAGACAGATTTGAGGCACCAAATGCCACCCTGTGTAAAAGGTAGAGGGTATAACTTTTAAAAGAGACTGCATGGAATTATGAAAACAATGACTAATCATCATATAACATCCTGGCAAGCATATGAGTATGTCCGCACAGGCTACCCCAGCGAAACACAGCACCAACTATGATGGGTCTGACAGGAATTCACTGTGTAGAGGTACCAGAGATTGAAGCTTTGTGGATGGTGACAACACAGCGTCTGTGGCCTGAGGGCCCTGCTGCCTTCGGATTCGGGCATAATTTGCTCTGACCTCCACCAGTTGCTTTAACTCTGTTAAAAAAAATATTATTTTGAGAGACAAGTCAATGTATTTATAGAAAATAATTAAAAGTTCAGGATGATGAAAATCTTGAAGATCCTTCAGAAATCCTCGACTCCCACGTCGGCCTCTCTCATTACACACTTGACTTGCTTATCACATCAGATATGTGTTAACATCCTTTGGATTTCTACAGAATGGCAGTTGCTAGAGAGGGCTTCCTTCCAAGCTTTTTATAAAGCCTGAATTGGAAGCTAACCTAGGAGTGGTCTAAAAACTGAACCCACTGAAAAGATGGTAAACACAGCATTGAGAACAGTGTTCAGATTTGATGACAAACAGCATAAAGCACCCTTTTGATTTTGTTGGGGGTTTGTGTGAAAGAAACTATTCTAACAGCATCTGATTTGTTTTGCCAAAACAAATCCATTTTTCAAAGACCCAGTGTGATTCTTTGATGGCTAACTTTCACATGCTAAATGTTTTTACATTATAGCACATAAAATAAGTTTTTATAAGGTGTTTAGTTTTGAAATTCCCAGGCTGCCTTATTTTCTACTACATAGTTAAGCCAGTAGGTCACAGAAAAATTATGAGTAGAATGATTAATTAAATGTCCTTTCACAAGTATAGATATGTTATATATATATGTATATATAATATATATAAATGCTAGTAGCATTTCTCTCTTGTTTTAAAGCATTCTGAGTATTTAGATTTCTACTAAATGATTATTTCTCAATTATTTCAGGAAAAATAATAAAATGACAGTTCATACAATAAAAGAACTTTCTAAAGAGCAACTAAATTAGACTCTCTGCTATCAATCAGATTTTCACCCACCGAAAAGAACTGAGACAACTGGGGAAACCACCAACACTTTCACCATTAAGGTAATATGGGGACCCATTTTCAGAGGAGAAGAAACAACTCTTTCACGTCATAGTAATTCATGTGGTTAAAGAACTGAAGACGCAGAAATGAATGTTTGTCTACATAGCCTTGTCAAAGGTCCACAGAGCTAACAAGGAGGAAAATGGTAAGGAGAGTAATATGTGCGTTTCTAGTTTTCTCTTTTCTCTTTGCAGTTTTTCTTGGTAACAAGCGTGCTTCTGGGAAGGCAGCCTACATATCTCTTCGTGTTTTGGATACCCTTTTGGCTAGGTTGCCTGAAGCATACTTAGCTTTATTTATCAGAAAGGCCTAATGAATACAGTGAGGCCAGGAGGGTGGGGTCCAGGTAACAGAAAGTCATCCCAAGAGTACGAAAGATTAAGCATAAATAATGAAGGGACTGGGCAAGTACCTTCTACTGCGCCACTTATTTGCTTACTATTCAATTACTTCAAGTGTGTTCATATACTCAATTAGATCGAAAACTCTTTCAGCGAAGGAACCCTGGCTTATATCTCTTTAATAGGCTATGTACTTTAGGAACACAGAAAGCTGTCAACTAATACTTATTCATGATAGGAACCCCATCATTGGTGTGTTCTTCTAAGTAATCACATAGTGAGGATCACCAAGAGCTGGAGTGAGGGGTACTGGTGAATGATGGGACAACAGAATACAAAGAATACAAAGATTGGCACCTCTTCCTTGATGTAAGATGGTGCTGGGGGAATATGTGTGGCATCCTCAGAACAGTGCTAGGCATCCCAGTAAATCCTTGTCTTCCTACTTTTTAGTTTCCGTTCCTATACTTTTATCCTTTCTGGGCTAAGTGTAAAGATATGATTGCAACTTTTTAAAAAGTTTTTGGCTTATATACCTTATATACAACATAGTAATAATAATCCTATGGTGACTTTTAAAAGAGATAATCTAGCATTAGTTATTTTAAGGACCCCAGGTAATTCACTTCTGAATCTTTTAATTTCCTTTAAAATGATATCAGTGTTCTTCAGAATATCCTGAAAATTATGTCATTGCTAATGTATACCTACTCCAGAAAAGGGTTTTAAATTCCTCAGGATAAATAAGATAAAGGACAAGAGTTAGTTTAATAACAAACGTATGTTCTTTTCCATTTCTAACGTTTATCAAAGAAAATAATCAAAGGATAGACAAGATAATAAAACAAGCATATATTTACTTATTACTAAAGAAAAAAATCTGTAAACTGTATATTTGCTATTAATGAAACATTAAGTTTTAAATAACTTGCAGAGTGGGAAGTCAAGGAAGCCTCACTTTCCTCAGGGTTCGTGCTAAAGAATGAATACCTTCAAAGGAGGCCCTTTAGAATTTCTACAAATAAAGCCCCTTGGATAAAATTCAAGACTAACAGAACTTGAATTCTTTAGAGCAAACAGTGTCAAAAGTGAGGTTCCAACAAATAAATACTTGAATTTAACTTTAGTAACATGGAGTAGAAAAGTGTGGAGGAGGATAATTATTAAAAATCATCATGATGGGATGTAAAATTCAGTAAACAAGCTCTTTGAAGAAACAAGTGAATGCTTTAATTCTTCAAACACTTGATGGAAAAGAAAACGTCACCCATACCTCTTTGGGTTCTAAAGCCATGCCCTGTGGACACACAGATGACCATGTCTTGCTCTATGTTGTCCCACGAGTGAATTGGCTCTCCGTCAGGGGTGTACAGTGTTCTGGCTGGGTGGGCCAGTTTGAGACGAGAGGAGCAGTCACTCAGCAGCTGAAACACAAAGGGACACACATACTGGGATGTGGAATGTCACACCATAATTACATATTAAAGAATCAACTCCTTTAAGAGAACTATTATCATGATATAAATATTCATTTTACTTGTAATTGTTAGAAAGAGGTACACTGTATAGCACAGGGAACTCTACTCAATACTCTGTAATGACCTATATGGAAAAGAATCTAAAGAAAGAGTGGATATATGCATATGTATAACTGATTCACTTTGCTGTATAGCAGAAAGTAACACAACTTGTAAATCAACTAAACTCCAATAAAAGTTAAACAAAAAAAAGGAAGAGGTATAGAAGGAGATGAGAAGAAGGGCTTACAAATGTTCCCTAATGTGTTAAACGGTAAGGAACTTCAGTGCTTGTCAGTGGATTTGTCCTTGTAGGTCTCTATTTTTCTATGTAGAAGAGGCCTCTTGCTGTTTAAGAAATGACTAAATATGAAAGACCTTGGCTTGAAGAATCTAGACTTGTTAGAATAGCTCATTTTTTTTTTCAATGAGCAAGAAGCTAGAAGGACAAAAGCACTGACCTGGCTCTGGCCTCTGTATGACTCAGACAAGTCAGGCAACTTCCCTATGAAAGAGTCTCTTTCACTATAAAATCAAATTTTTGGTCTAACACCTCTTTGACTCTATGATTCTATGATCAAAAGTCTTTTTCTTTTCAATTGGTAAATTTAAAAACTATGTTTAGGGGCCTAATTCAATTTCTCTCAATTTTCCTTGAAATATTCATAAAAACACATGTACAGATACGAAGTGTCAAGAGTACTAAACAGATTGGCTAACCTGTCACCAGACCCCTAAGGGTGGTTCTATTAGTCTGAATAAGACTTTAAGACAAAACAATGCAAGCAAGCAGGAGGAAAGTAAGAGGTTTCCGCACACCTGCCTGTATGGCTTTTACCTATCATGCAGGTCAAACACCTGCTCTCCCAAAATGAAGGAGCCAGGTCCACATGTGTTCCAACTCACCTTCTATACTTTAAAAAAAATTTTTTAACAGCTTTATTGAGGTTTAATTTACATGCCATAAAATTCATTAATTTCAAGTACGAAACAATCAATGATTTGTAGTAAACTGATAAAGTTGTGCAACCATCCCACAATACAATTTTAGAACATCCCCATCACCCCAAGAATCTCTCTCATGGTCACTGCAGTCACTTCTGTGACTTCTGCGACTGCAGTACTTCTTTTTATATATCGAATTAGGAGCTACAACTCACAGCAATGCAGGGTGGCAGTGGGCAGAGCTGGGCAAGTAATGGCATCTTGCATTTGGAAAATGAATCAGTAATATGAAGGAAGACATGAAAGAAGTGGTGAGATAATGCAATTCAGAGAGTGAAGTTTTCACTCACTATTGTGAGCAAGAGATGAATGCACTGAATTGAACAGTAATGGAAATTATCCCAGAATACATTCCCATCTGTAGAGTGGGATAGTTAGAGAAGAGCAGTGGGAGAATGGACTTAAATGCAGTCCTACACCTCTTGCTAAATGACAGCCAGTCAGCAGCCATTTGATTCTGATTCAGGATCTAGGGGTGGATCCTAACAGCTCCCAAGTCAAAATTTAGGAGAACAAAGGAGAACTAATGTCTTCTGTCAAGAGATCTCTCCTTGAAGGAGGAGATATAAATAGAAAAAATTAACATCAGCAACTATATGAGGCTTATGAAAATATTCTACGACATAAAAATGGTATCTGTACACAAGGTGAAGATTTAACAAAAAGATTTAGAGCACAAATACATTTTGGAGAGTACCTATATTGTGCTCCCCCCAAATTTGGTAAAATATGACTTCCATAAACACACACACACACACTCCCACACACACACAGAAATGAGATGACAACAGCTCAAAGGAAAGGAGCATTGCTGAGATGCAGGCAGAGATAATGATGGTGATAATGACGATGGTAACAACAATAGCAGTTAAAATTTACTAGCACATTCCTGTGGGCTAGAAACTTTTCTAAAAGTTTCTAAGGACAATCTAATATTTTTTCTGTGGAAACAATTATTATCCCCCTTTTGTTGATGAGAAAAATGGAGAACAAAGACATTAATATCATAACCAAGGTCACACAGCTGGTAAAAGAAGAAACAGAGGTTTAAATTGGGATGAATAGACAGCCGAATGAGAGGTAAGGAAATAAAAGACTCAAGAGCAGAATTACACTCCGTCTTAAAAGCAGGAAAAAGCAGACTCAATTTTGTAGAAAATCAAATCAGTATTAGGGAGGGCTAAGTTGAGAAAATCTCATAGGATACAGAGAAAGGATAAGACAAAATTTATGAGAAAAATGTAAAACATTTGGAATGTCAAGACATCAGATATTAAACCTATACATTATTGGTGTTACTGGAGAAGAATCCAGAATAAATTAAACTTAAGCAATTATTCAAAACACAGAAGAAAACGTTCGTGTTTCAAAGACCCATGTCTTCAGATCAAATAGGCTAACCTAGGATAAGGCACAGTTAATGAAAAAAATGACTAGTATTTAAATATAACTGGGCAAAAAGTATGACTTTCAGACATGGGGGGAAAATGCAGTTATGTTTAGACCTGTTTTCTGCAACAATGAATACCAAAAAAAAAAAAGAAAAGAAAGAAAATCTCTGAAGTTTTTAGGGGAAAAGGTTTCAGTATAAGAACTCAGTATCCAGCTAAATTATTACTTAGGTTACAGGAAACAAAAGATATCCTTATGTGTACAAAAACTCAGAAAATATATCACTCAGATACATTTCGGATTATTAAAAAATGAATGAAATTCCATCACCATGGAAAAGTCATAATATAAAGTGACTAATATTAAGCAGTAAGACCACTAGAACATGATACAGCTGTTATAAAAATGGTCAGAAAATAAATGAATTTAAAATTTTAAGGTAAGTCTCCATAGAGAAAAAATAAAGGAAAAATGTAAGACATCACCAAAAAGGGACATGGGCAAGGAAAAGAGAAACCAAAGCATTCAAACTTTCTAGCTATTCATGGGGGAAAAAGATGCTGTTTCTTCTTTTTTTCCATCGTTAGGAATATTTACTTTTATGATTATAATCAATGCAATAAAACAAAAAATCAGAATAAGAGAAACAGTTCTTCTAAAGGAGTAGGCAAAATCATCACCATGTGAACTTTATATGATTTCATTCTTAGAAAATTTATGTAAATTGAATGAGAAATTAATAACAAAAAGAATGCTTAGTAAAGTGGCCAAGCACAAAATAAATGATAAAACATCAGTAGTTTTATGTTGTTCACCAAAAAAAAGTATTTAAAAAAATACAGTGGGGGTAAATTCATCCCAACATCAAACCAACTCAGAATGTCAATTATTTTAAAATGTGAGGCCCTTCCTTATAAAAAATTATAAAATTTTACTGAAGGACAAAAAAAAGATGTATATGTATATAAAACAATGCCAAAGAATTCAATCTGGCTGCAAAGATTGAATATTGTAAAAGGTGTCAATTCTTATGAAAGTAATTAATAGCCTAACATAACTACAGTCAAAACTCCTGTAGGATGATTTTAGGGTGTTGAAATGTAATTCCAAACTTCATCTATAAAAATCAACAGGCAAGGATAATCAAGTAAAGTCTGAAAACAAAGTACAACATTAGGCAACTTCTATCAGATATTAAAATATATTAAAAAGCTATAGTATTCTAAAAGTATTAGATAGCCTAAAAGCAGAAGTTAATAAGAATTTAGTATATTATAAAGTTTGTATTCCAGCTCAATGGGGAGAACAAAAAAGATTATTCAGCAAGTAGGGCTGAGATAATAATTTTAAGCCAATAAATAAAACAGACAAAATAGCTTCACTCAAATTTTACACCAGAACGAAGTTTCACACAGTTTAAAAAGTAAACGGGAAAGACACAATTATAAAAATCTTAAGATGAATCTTTATATGACATAAGGATAGTAAAATACTATTGGAACATGAAAAGCAAAGAACAAACTTTTAAAATATATTAATTTCTGTACCTTAAAAAATCTCCTAGACACAATGGCAAATTGGATCATTGTTACAATAAATCTGACAAAGTTACACATAGTAGGCTTGTTACTTTAAAAAAAGAAGATTCATATCAGTGTGAAAAATACTTCCAGCAGAAAAATAGCAAAGAATTTGTCAGGAATTCACAGATTACTAATAAATGGTAAAACAAAGCAAGTCAAAATCACTTTTACAAATAATTAAAGACATATAAATTAAAGCATGGGTATAACATTCTCTCCTGTCAACCTGCAAATACATGTTTCTAAGTGATGGCAATTAGCATTGTTGATAACTCATGTAAACAGCAGGTAAGTGGGAACTCTCATTCACCACTTGTGGGAGCATTGACTCCTGAAATCGTCCTAGAAAACAAGCTGGCGATAGCTATCAAAATTTTCAAGCGCATTTACATAATTTGACCTAGCAATTCTTCTAGGAATTTATCTGGGGGAAATAATCAGAAAATTAAATAAAGATTTATATATAGATATGTTCACTGGAGCATGCTTTATGATAGCAAAAAATTAAAAACAATCTAAATGGCAAACAATAGAAAACTGGATGAGTAAGTAATAATCCATCCAGTTGATAGAAGATGATGATGCCATTGAAAATAATGTTTTGTTAAAGAATATTAAATTATGTGGGCAAAAAGTCACAACAGTTTGTTAGGCAAATAACACAGGTTGCAAAATTATATATATACCATGTGATCTACTATGATCACAATGGCAAACAAATATATAAATAACCATGTAGAAACCATAGGAATATATCTACTAAAATTTTAATAACTGTGGTTATTTGTGGGTGATAGAATTTTCATTTCCTTCTTGGTGCTTTTCCTTTTTCTAATATTAATGCACTGGCTGTATGTTGTTTTATAATTAGAAAACAGAACAAATGTTATTCAAATAATCAAAAAATTCATAGTGATTACAATAGATTCGTATGCTTCATATGGTTTTGCAGTTTTTCTAAATTTTCCATAACAATAGTCACTATCTTAGTCTGCTTGGGCTGCCAAAACAAATACCATTGACTGAGTGGCTTAAACAAAGGAAATTTATTTCTCACCGCTCTGGAGGCTGGCAAGTCAAGATCAAGCTGTGGTTTGATTTGGTTTCTGGTGAGAGCTCCTCCTGGCTTACAGACAGCTAGCTGCCTTCCTCATATGATGGGAGAAGAGAGAGAGATCGCTCTTTTTCTCTTCTTATAAACCCACAAATGTTATCAGGTTAGGGCCCCACCCTTAAGGTCATTTAACCTTAATTGCCTCCTAAAAGCTCTATCCCCAAATACAATCACATTGGGGGTTAGGGCTTTAACATAAGAAATCGGGGGGTGGGAGGTGGAGACACACAATTCAGCCCATAGCAGTTATATATTTTTCTGCTCCAAGGCAGCCAGAGAGTATGATTAACTGAGTTTCTATTTGGACTGGGAGCAGTGGGGAGCTGTCCTAGAATTGTGTGGATATGTCTCTGGGAGAAATTTCTGTAGTTTGAAAAGATCCTACATAAGGATAATTCTTATACTTTCCCCTACTTTACCACTAAAATGTCACTCGTCTATAGAGATTGTGTTCTGTTTATAATCAGAAAAATAAATATAATTTAATAACGGCATATACCAAGTACAAAATATGACTTAAATCTGTAGCTATTTCACTCGGTGTTCACAAAGATCTATTTACATGAGACTCAGTTAATGAGTTTACAAAAATCTTTTAAAAGTAAATTTGAAAACAAAAGGCATTTTCAGTACAATTAGGTTCTAAAATATCTAGTTAGCTTATGACCTTTAATGACATTCTTAATTCTCAGTTTTTCAAATATATCCAAATTTACTCAAGTACCTTCTTTAAAGTGGGTAATATAAATTAAATGTTTGTAATTTTTGCAATAACAAAAATTCATAATAAAAGAACAATGTTCTATACATAATTCTTCACCCACAATCCCTTTTGTGAGCTTTCATGGGCCAGGTCCTCTCAGAGTGGCTCACGTGGGCATCACAGAACTATTTCATATTCCCTGAGGACATGAGGTACTTGCCTCTCCAAATCAAAAAAATCTGTTTCTCATTCTTTCAGCTTCCACTCACGCATTCAGAACTGTGCTTGGCTGTGAGAGAACACATTGCTTTTGAGATTCTGTAGAATCAGAGAGAGGTTGCTGGGATGAGAGGAGACAGATGCTTTAGGACCATAGAAGGAGGGGCCCTGATAGTCATAAATCAGAGAAAGATGATGGCCCTGAAGAAAGAGCCACTAACCCTAGAGAGGGTGTCACCTTGGTGCACTGATGACAGATGAGCCTACACCAGTTGGAGATGAGAGTTTGCTCCAGCCATGTTCAAAGACTGGGTAGGAAGAATGTGGTTCAATCACCCAGAATAGCCACAGCAGTGAACGAAGTTGAGGGAAAGCCTGCATTAGATGGGATTCAAATACCTTCTGGGGGTTTCATTACAGAAAGTAGAGTGAAGCACCTTGAAATGCGTTCTGTTCCTCATTCTTCTGGTAAAAGTACCAGCCATTGAAACTCTGAGCTTCTCTGGAATTGGTGTTGTTAGCCAGATTCCCCTAGTAAAATCTGAACCCTACTCTTCCTGTTGTTTGTTTCACACACACAGTCCATTCTCCTGAACTTTTCTTTACAGCCTGAGAGCCTGAAAGGATACATTTCTAACTGATGACAAAGAATCTCATTCAGATCCCTAAAATCAAAATCAAAACAGAAAAAGGAAAAAGGGAAAGAAAGAGATTAGAAAGAACATTTTTTAAATAAAGCAAAAGAAGAAATAATATGCAGAAAACTTTCTAGACATTGCCTAAGTAGCTTTCTACACACAGGCCACATTAGTCTCCCCAAAACATTGGTTTTACTATGCCATGACCTTATTCAGAGACAAACTAGTGGTTCATGCACTCTAGTCTGGGGTAGTGTAATGGACTGAACTGTGTCCTTCCCCAGACTCATAGGCTGAAAAGACACTAGAGCTCTCTCTCCACATGTGCTCAGAGGAAAGGCTCTGAGAGGACACAGTGGTGAGAAGTCAGCCACCTGCCACTCAGAAAAAGAGTCCACATCAGAAGCCAACCCTGCTGGCATCTTGATCTTGGACTTTCCAGCCTCCAGAAGTGTGAGCAATAAATTTCTGTTGTCTGAGCCACCCAGTCTGTGGTATTTTGTTATAGCAGCCCAAGTAGACTATACAGAGAGTATGTGGTGTCCACCCTATATGCTTTTTTTTTTTTTTTTTTTTTTTTTGCGGTACACGGCCCTCTCACCGCTGTGGCCTCTCCTGTTGCGGAGCACAGGCTCTGGACGCGCAGGCCCAGTGGCCATGGCTCACGGGCCCAGCAGCTCCACGGCATGTGGGATCTTCCCGGACCGGGGCACGAACCCGTGTCCCCTGCATCAGCAGGCGGACTCGCAACCACTGTGCCACCAGGGAAGCCTACCCTATATGCTTTTGAACAGTCTCTCCAGTTGTCTGTATCTCTCCCTAATTCTCAGTCCAGGTACCATCTACTCGTATGTTTATGAATTCTAACACCCATACCTCTGTGTGTGATGCCCCTCATGCTTGTTAATGCTTTTTTCTGCCTAAATGTTGAATCTTACCCATTTCTCAAGTTCCATCAGAGCTCCTGGTTGCGTCCTCTGGGGAGCCTTTCTCCTTCACCCCAGGTGGGCCCAGTGTTCCCTCCTCTGAACTACTGAACTTCCTGTATGTACTACTGACCTGACCTTCATCACATGCTGTTAGTATTTCTCTAAGAGGAAGGTCAGCTCCCTCAGCAAATTTTTCTTACAATCTGTGTTCATCATAACCAAATATGGAACACAAAGAAAAACACATAATAAAGAAATACCACTTTTATTAGGCCACCAGTAATAAGACCATCCAATAAACACTTCCAAAAATAAAATCCTTCCAGTCTTTTTCTTTTAGGTTTGTGCATGCATGTATATAGAATCTAACTCTACGTGCTTTATAGTATGCTTCTTTCATTTAGTATATCTTGAACATCTTTATTGACATTCTTTCTAAAGTTGATTTTAATTATGGTAATATTCCATCCTATACACTATAATTCATTTAACCAACTCCCTATTGATAAGTGTTTACTTCTAATCTATATATGTTATAAATAGCCCCATGATAATTATTCTTACCAAACAAACTTCGCATAAATTCATGAAAATATCCTTGGGATAAGGTTCTAGAAGTGCATTTTCTTATGATTTGTATAGCCACACGGTCCTCCAAAAAGTTTTACTTCCATCGACATGAGAGTGCCCATTTCTCTATAAACCTAAGTAAAGCTTGATATATTTTCAAATGTTTTGCCAGTTGGAAGTATGCATTTAATGAGAACATAGATCATGCGTCATTTTATTCCTCCTATTGCTATAGGTTAACCTGTCAATTATACTGCACTATAAAGTTTTCAAACCCTTTTCACACACATAAATTAGGATAATACTTTACAGCATCTAGCACAGTGCCCTTTATGTACAAAGTTCATAAAAAATTATATGATCATGGAATAATATGTATGGCATGGCTTTTATATGCTACATGAGAGTCACATAAATCAAAAAGTCATTCTTTCACCAGGTATATGTAATTTTTGTAAAAGTTATGGTAAGTTTTTGCTATCCTGAGCCTGACAGGCTATCTTTAATCCTCGTCCCTGCTCTACTTTTTATTTATTAATCATTTCATATTCCCTCACTAATGTATCAGTTCTAGTTGCAATGGTTATGTGCATCTTAAGACTTAACATCTGCAATACAAACTCTGTGATTTTCAAAGAAACCAGCAAGGAAGAAACATTTCAGGTTTGTTATAGAAACTGTTCTAGGGTGTTCTCTCCTGAAAAAGTTTCACTCATTTTAAAAAATCACTTTCCTTTTTCTTCCCCATGTGTATGAAGTTCCTTTACTTGTATTCCTAGTTTTGAATTTATTGTCTGCATTTTTCTCTCTTCTTTCTCAAATACAGCAAATCGGCTGTCAACTTCTGAGATGCAATTGCTTTCACAGTTCTTATCCAAAGTCCTTGTCAAAGAGAAGTGGTCTCCATCACACTTTGAAATCACCAACCTTCAGGGACACAACTCCTCTGAGGTGCCCCTGCCACTCTAGGTGCCCCCATGAGCCTCCATGAACTCCTCCAGGCCTGCCTGCTGCACTGTCTTGCCTTTCCTTCCATCTCCCACCAACATGTCACCTTTATATGACTTCCTCTTGTCCCAGAAAAAATTATAAAAACATTTCACAAATAATAAAGCCCAACAACTATTATAAGATATCACTGCAACAAATAAGACTTTTAAAAATTCTACCAAAATCCATTTATTAGGTACCTAAAGTTTTCATTTAAAGACTAAGACAAAATGTCAACTTTTAGAATTGTATCATTGATATTGCAAACAATAAATGAACTGTTACTCATCTTTTCTTTAGTCAATGTTTTAATTCTGGAAAGTGGAAAGTTTGCCATAGTTCCAAGAATCTGTGTGACAAGAATATGATAGATTTCCTCTAGTGAATACTGTTGTTTTCCCCACGGGGAACATATCCAGTGAATAATCACTCTTTTGTGAACTAGGTTTAAAATGGAACAGGAAAACTATTTTAAATTATCTTAAAGTTTAGATTTACTCTAAACTTGGGTGCAATGAGTTTAATTGTCATTGTTCTCTGCTGGCCAAGTGTCATATTCTGATGCACACATTATGTCAGACAGCATTGGACTCCACCCTGTGAGGAAAGTATTACTCCCATTTTAGAGATGAGAAAATGAGATTTAGAGAGGTAAAATAATTTGCCTGACCTAACAATCTATAAATGTCAGCGCTGGAATTTGAAAACAGGCCTATAAAACACTCTCCTTTCACACTAGGTTTACCTCTGAAATAGTTCTGCCCCGGGCATAAGTGCCATCTTCAGGTCTGCCTCCATTTAGGTAAATCCACGCTCGTTTTGCATCGGGTTGCTTATACAAGCTGCTCCTCTCGAATGATATACATTTAGGTGCAGTTGGAGAATTTCCCTTGGATTGCAGTTCTTGGACTTCAGAAAGCTGTGCCTGTTAAGAAAAGCCCAGAGAATGCCGTGGTTGGAGAATTGTCTGTTTAGTGTGTATGCGTGTGTGTCTGTGCATGTGTCTGTGTGTGTGTGTGTGTGTGTGCATGTGCGTGTAGAATATGCTGAAAGAAATATCTTATAATTGTACATCATACGGAAAAAAGATTTAGGAATTACATTACCCTCTCCTATCACTGACTCTTCTGTAAATTCCCCTTGCTTCAATGCATCACTGTAAGCAATAATAATCATTAGAGTAATAATAATAAGGCACTTATTTTGGCAAAGCACTTAACTTTCATTTATAATTTGGAGAAATAAATAGAGATATGTTTTTGGATTTTTGTATGGTGTTTCTCCTACTGAGTGATTTCTCTGCATCTAACAAATGAGTTTTTGATTAGAGTCACAGCATCATTTCCTTTAACCAAGACATGCTTAAGGGAATGTACATGACTATTGTTTAAATCTTTACTCTCTGTCTTTTAAAATACAGCAGCCACCTTTATATTCTGCCAGATCCCTGCCAGGCAGCTTTTCATCCTACTTCAAGCATGTCCTAGTTCAATGCTTTGCATTCATTCCCTGGTCAGTGATTTATCCTTCTTAGCTTGGCAAGAAGTCATATTTCTAGCGATGTCAATTTCTTTTTTCTAGTAACCTTGACTTGGGCACACGCCTAAGATTTAGATTGAACACATTTCATGATTTGAGAAACCCTATTAAATAAGAACACATCATTTTGATGAAAAACTTCACAAAGCAAAAAGTTTTCCCAGGTCTCTCTATCCCCAATCCTCTCTCAACAGCTGACCTTTCTCTTCTCGTCTTTTTTATGTCTGGCAATCCTGTCTGATTAATCAATTGGATTGAAACTGCTTTTTGAATTCCTCACTTCTGAATGTCTCCATTGAAATTAGTATTTTGCTCCTTCCTCTTTTTACATATTGAGACATACCCTTAGGAGTGATGAGCAATGAAGCCATAAGGCTCAACTTGACTACATTTATTATAATTACCTTTGTACATATCCACTGGGCCTTTTTCTCTTCTTTGCTAAGGTCATAATTTCTGGTCTCCATTCAAACAAAACAGACTTTCATATGAGCTGGCTGTGGCTTAGATAGTTACTCTCCAAATGCCAACTCAACGCTTGGCATATGCTTATGTGGTCATTACTGACCAGATGCCGAGAATATATTAATAGCATAATTTAAAAATTCAATACTGTACTTTTAAAAGCTTATAAAAGAGCCTGAGTCTTTAATGTCTGGAGTCCTAAAGATCATACCTCTGTATGTCTTATAAGGTCCATGAGTTTAATTTCCTCTTGAGTCTGCTTAGTCCAGCCTCCTTCCACTACCACCGGCTGCACAGGGCTTTTGTTGGGAACCATGGTGGCTGGCTGACATGCTGCTACCCGCCGCCCTGGGGAAAGAAGTCTCTGGAAATGTTTCTGATGATAGGCTTTCAGATTTCAAATAAATTGGTTTGGCTTTCTATGCATAAATCATTTCACTTGGGAGCAGAGGGTAAAATACTAAATATATCATAAAAGCAAAGATGCCTAAGGTAATAAGATCTAACAATGTCTCTTCATACGGGAGCTTGAGGCTTTAAATAGCCAGTATATGCATACTCAGTGTACAGATGGAAAAGAAAGATAACACGCTGACTTCCACACTGGCCCCAACCTCTCATCCACGATATGGTTCAGCGGTAATTTAGTCAAATAGAATCCATGACCTATATAGCCCATCATCTCTTCCAGTCATGGAACATATGTTTTGTTCTCTTCACTAATAATAAGCCTTTCCCCCACAATTAGTTTAGCAGCCTGGGGATTAAGTATTTCTAAAATAATATTAACCCAAGAGACAGGAGGCCTTTTTTTTTTTTTCTATCTAATAATACCCTGCGAACACGATTAGTTTCTGACACCTCTGCTGTGTCCTCTGGGCTCTTAAGAAGCTGTGGTAAGAGAAAATATTTATCGGAATGGTGTATTCTAAAGAATCACAGGCATACATTAATAAGTGCGGTGATTTGAATTTATGCATTCTTTCAGCTAGACCACTTTAAATCATTATAGAAGAGGTTTAAAGGTCACACTTATTAAACTGTTTTCTTTTTCTGGGTTGAAGATATACTGAGCACTGAGTCTCAGACTGATCTCGAAACTTCTTAAGTACAAATAATGCTTTCTCTTGGATGTTCCTTCTAGAAACCTATGTTGAACATCAGGTATGAGTCAGGCATTGTGCTGGATGGTGCACATACAAAACACGTTTGAGACTAAGTCCTTGCCTCAAAGGCTTACACTTTGGCAAGGAAGGCAAATGTCAAGGAAATGATTACACCAATAACTGATTGTAACTGTGTTGCACCATGGAAGTACAGGGTGTGTAAAAGCATGTAAAACAGGTTGCTGACCTAGTCTGAAGTGTCAGAAAAGGCGTTTTTGAGAAAGTCACACTTAGGTGGATAAAATAATAGAAATACTGAAATGACGTTAAGTCCTAATTTTGTTGCCAGGAGACTTATAATGTGCAGGTTTTCATACCGTGACTATGAACAAAACATTTTGAAAATAACTCAGTTTTTGTAGAGGATAATACATTTGTGCTCTTACAGCTCAAGTTTGTGTAAATAGATCCAGCAATAAAAATAGGTGGCAGAAATGACTTTTCAGGGAAATCAGAACTCTATGTACCTAATAAGCATTCATATGCAATTTATGGTTATGGAGAAAACATAATTGAATTAACAGCCAATGAGTTACAGTGACAATGCCATTAGGCAACATGTTTTGGAGAAGAGCACAGTGGCACCAGAAAAATACATAACAGAAATTTATGCCAAATATAGTTTTCAGCTGACTCTATTCATAATGTACAGACAACATTAATTTATCTGCATAAATTCTTATGGATAACATCTCAATAAATATTTTATTTATAACGCATTTTGAACACTAAAATTTTGCTCAACTAAAGACAGTTCTCCACTAGTTTATCATTTACACTGTTAAGAGCCAGGATTTGAATATAAGAAAGAGCAAAAAACACATGCATTATTGTTTTTTGTCAACTTGTTTCTAATGGTCTTAAGAAAATGAAAGCATTTGCACTCTAACATTTATAAAGGGACATAATATCATCACAAAAGATTTTCATAATAAACTATCCTTTATGTAGGTAAGAATAACAAATAGAAACAAAACAAAAATGTATTGAATAAATTACTTTTTATTTTCTTATTACATTTTCCATATATTCTGTTTTATTTCACATGTGATTGGTGGGGGAGGGGGGAAGATAATATCTAACTATTAATGGGGAAAGCTAGAGAACGTGGGTACTTTGCTGTTCTTTCAGAATATAAATCTCAGCTGGACAGCTCTCCTCATACCTCTCCTTTGTTGGGAGGGCCCATCCTGGTTCAGCACCATATGTGCCCAAAAGGATTAGTCCAGCTCATTTGGGGTTTCAGTTAGCAGATCCATTTAGCTCTCACACTAAATAAAATGTTCCAGCATTGCCTTTATATGTAACAAAGGTGATACTTTGGCCTGATCTGCCATCCTTCAGTTTTGTTTATCTGTTTTTAAGATCCCAACTGAGAAAATGGACTGCCTTCTCAGGAATCCCTGTTCTAATGTTTAGTGAATATTCATTCTGTACTAAGCATGTAGTAAATATCTGGCATTTGTAACTTAATCATAAAAACCCCACAAGGTTATTACTACAATTTCATTAATATTAGCAATGATCATGCTTACAAATGAAATGTAAAATCAGCTTACCATAGTACTTTGTACACAGTATATGCTCAATAAAAATTTGCTGTACTTACCAATCCTTATAATAATACGATATAATTGATTTGGTCACTGTTCATACCTCCCAAACCTCCTCTTTCATCCAATGCTCAAGAAGCTCACAATCCAGAGGCAGACCTGTGGAGCCCCAATCCTGAGTCGGCCACAATCCAAGGGCCGGAAACCTGATTCCTTTCTGACTTGCCCATCATTCAGCCATGTGGATGACAGGGTCTTGGTGCACTGGCCAGGTGTCAGGCCTGAGCCTCTGAGGTGGGAGAGCCAAGTTCAGGACATTGGACCACCAGAGACCTCCCGGCCCCACGTAATATCCATCGCTGGGAGCTCTCCCAGAGATCTCCGGCTCAACGCTAAGACCCAGCTCCACTCAATGACCAGCAAGCTACAGTGCTGGACACCCCATGGCAATCAACTAGCAAGACAGGAACACAACCCCAACCACTGGCAGAGAGGCTACCTAAAATCATAGTAAGTTCACAGACACCCCAAAACACACCACCAGACGTGGTCCTGCCCACCAGAAAGACAAGATCCATCCTCATCCACCAGAACACAGGCAACAGTCCCCTCTACCAGGAAGCTTACACACCCACTGAACCAAACTTAGCCATGGGGGCAGACACCAAAAACAATGGGAACTATGAACCTGCAGCCTGCGAAAAGGAGACCCCAAACACCATAGGTTAAGCAAAATGACAAGACAGAGAAATATGCAGCAGATGAAAAAGCAAAGTAAAACCCCACCAGACTAAACAAATGAAGAGGAAATAGGCAGTCTACCTGAAAAAGAATTCAGAGTAATGATAGTAAAGATGATCCCAAATCTTAGAAATAGAATGGAGAAGATATAAGAAATGTTTAACAAGGACCTAGAAGAACTAAAGAGCAAACAAACAATGATGAACAACACAATAAATGAAATTAAAAATTCTCTAGAAGGAATCAATAGCAGAATAACTGAGGCAGAAGAATGGATAAGTAACCTGGAAGATAAAATAGTGGAAATAACTATCATTGAGCAGAATAAAGAAAAAAGAGTGAAAAGAAAGGACAGTCTCAGAGACTTCTGGGACAACATTAAATGCACCAACATTTGAATTGTAGGGGTTCCAGAAGAAGAAGAGAAAAAGAAAGGGACTGAGAAAATACTTGAAGAGATTATAGTTGAAAACTTCCCTACTATGGGAAAGGAAAGTGTCAGTCAGGTCCAGGAAGTGCAGAGAGTCCCATACAGGATAAAGCCAAGGAAAAACACCCAAGACACATATTAATCAAACTATCAAAAATTAAATACAAAGAAAAAATATTAACAACAGCAAGGGAAAAGCAACAAATAATACACAAGGGAATCCCCATAAAGTTAACAGCTGATCTTTTAGCAGAAACTCTGCAAGCCGGAAGGGAGTGGCAGGATATATTTAAAGTGATGAAAGGGAAAAACCTACAACCAAGATTACTCTACCCAGCAAGGACCTCATTCAGATTCAGTGGAGAAATTAAAACCTTTACAGACAAGCAAAAGCTAAGAGAGCTCAGCACCACCAAACCAGCTTTACAACAAATGCTAAAGGAACTTCTCTAGGCAGGAAACACAAGAGAAGGAAAAGACCTACAATAACAAACCCAAATTAATTCATAAAATGGTAATAGGAACATACATATCGATAATTACCTTAAATATAAATGGATTAAATGTTCCAACCAAAAGACATAGATTGGCTGAATGGATACAAAAACAAGACCTATATATATACTGTCTATAAGAGACTCATTTCAGACCTAGGGACACATACAGACTGAAAGTGGGGATGAAAAAAGGTATTCCATGCAAATGGAAATCAGAAGAAATCTGGAGTAGCAATTCTCATATTAGACAAAATAGACTTTAAGATAAAGACAATTACAAGACACAAAGAAGGACACTACATAATGATCAAGGGATCAAACCAAGAAGAAGATATAACAATTGTAAATATTTATGCACCCAACATAGGAGCACCTCAATACATAAAGCAAATGCTAACAGCCATAAAAGGGGAAATCAACAGTAACACAATAATAATAGGGGACTTTAACACCCCACTTTCACCAGTGGACAGATCATACAAAATGAAAATAAATAAGGAAACACAGGCTTTAAATGACACATTAAACAAGATGGACTTAATTGATATTTATTGGACATTCCATCCAAAACAACAGAATACACTTTCTTCTCAACTGCTCATGGAACATTCTCCAGGATAGATCATATCTTGGTTAACAAATCAAGCCTTGGTAAAGTTAAGAAAATTGAAATCATATCAAGTATCCTTTCACAACACAACACTATGAGACTAGATATCAATTACAGGGAAAAAAAACTGTAAAAATTACAAACACATGGAGGCCAAACAATACATTACTAAATAACCATGAGATCACTGATGAAATCAAAGAGGAAGTCAAAAAATATTTAGAAACAAATGACAATGAAACCACAATGACCCAAAACCTATGGGATGCAGCAAAAGCAGTTCTAAGAGGGAAGTTTATAGCAATACAATCCTACCTCAAGAAACAAGAAAAACTCAAACAGACAACCTAA